ATTCGCCTTGACACTGTATTTTCGGAAATACTGTGTTTGAGTTACAGAAGACCTCAAAGAAGATCCCCAACTAAACTTACTTTTTGAAGAAAGGCTAGTCGTTCCATAAATGTTGCCATGATTTAGCAGTGTGCCCATCTTCTTCCTGGAGCTGCAAGGAGAGGACGAGACTAGACGTGACAGGCAGCCAATCACACTCTCTACTACTCACTGAAGGCAAATACGATTGGCGTTTGTGCCAGGGTCAAAGCAAAAAACAACCAATGACATCCAAAGAATTGGCCACAGAATTGATGGACTGAGAAATGAGCCAATCACATGGGTAGGTAAATGTCAGAGTCGTTTCCTTACTGATGAGGTCAACAACATGGCGCTGTCCATAGACCATGGATCTAATATAATACTATAGACAAACTTAATTATTTTTATATTATGACCCGGAATATCTATATGTTACGATTTCTTTGCTTACGGATCAGTTGAACGGGTTTTGTGTCAGATGCAGAAAACTTGACCAAACCACTAAAGAACTGCACTATGTCTGGATCAAATGTATGGAGTCGTACGCGAGAGAAATTACGACGTTTCCCAGAACTTTTTGCTGAGTGTTCATTTGAGGTGAGACCATTTTACCTATTTGATTATAGGCCTGTGTATTTTGTATCACAGATGGCTTTGATATGTTTAGCTCTTATCAATTTTGTTCCACTCTGAAGGCTGCAGCTTATGGGAAGTGTGTGGCAGCCACTACCACGAACAAACAGGAAATAAAGAAGGATCTGTGTGCCAAGGAATTTGAAGCATTGAAGACTTGTTTTACTAATGCAGTGAGTAGCAACAGAAGTTATTTATCAATGCTCATTTCATAATCGTTTAGCCTATGAATTTCGTTTTTTGCAGGCTAAGAAACGATGCCAATAAATGGAAAACCAATACTGTCTTACTAGATGTGGTTCTCTTTTTTCCCCCCCTTCATGCTGATGTTGGTGGTGTCAAGCTATAAATCTTAGTAATAATGTTTAATCATGCATGTAAATGTAAAATGAGAATAAAATGTTTATCAGATATATTTTATTATATCAGCAAGGAGGCTGACCATAATACAAAAATAGTAGGAAAATAGCTTCTTGTATAAAGCAAAGATCCAAAGCATTTTGTAATTAACCATGTATACAGTAACCCACTTTTTTATCTCCACATAAATAATTTCACTGTGGTAGATGGTCTATTATTACAACAGTTGGTCGATAAACACACTTGTGCGTCATGTCACAATTATAAGGCACTGACAAATGGAATGAAGAAGAACAACCTGGACACTTACAACACTATTCTAGACCTCATGGCACCAACCTTGAACCACTGTAAATGCTCACTGGAGTCTGACGCAAATAAGCAGATGATGAATGATAGAACAAGAGCCAAAAGTAGCCTCAAAATCCTCCACTTAACAGAAACCAACATAAGTACATATTTACATAACATGGTAAAACCTTTAAATTGACCTGATGTAAAAACAGAAGAAAAAAATGTATGCAGGCAAAACAAAATCTGATTGCACAAGCGACATGTAAAAGTGACTCAGTTATACTCTTCTGGTTCCAACAACACAATAATGGTAAACGCACAGACTTTATACACATTTCAACAGTAACATACCCCATGGTCCCCATGACTTGACAAAAATAAGTTACTATTTACACTCTTCAATCATTAATAAAGACTCACAGTTATGGACCATTGAATTTGCACTTTTTTCTGTAAAAGCTGACGTAAGGCATATTTTGTCTACTCCACAATATTAGCATGTCTTTTATTTGAGGTCTTCTACTTCTGGGGTTTGCTTAATCTGTCGCGAGTGCACCACTGCTCCAGCCAGTAACTGCTGCTCCAAGGCCACATGCAGGTCCGAACCCCCGAGCTCCAGCAGGGGCTCCAGCCCGTGGCCCCCCATGGACATTCCTGTCTCCTCTCTGGGCACTTGCTCGTCTTTGGCCCTCAGTGCCCTGCGTCTCCTCCTCAGATCAGTTTCTCCCTGGTCCCTGGCTTTCTCGTGTGAGTCCTGGGGGTCGGCCTGGTTCTCTTTGAGGTCTCGTCCTCCCTTCTTCAAAGCCTCTCCATCTGCACCGTTGTTCCCCGGTGCACCGTTTTTGGATTCTGCAGCTCCCTCCCCCTCTCGTGCGATGTCCAGCCCGTTCCTTACCCTGTCAGGTTCATTCTGCGCTTTTTGGACTTCTCTTTTGAGTGCCTCTTCAGATGCTTTCTCCTGTTTTTCCCTCTCTCTCTCCAGCTTCTGTTCTTTGGCTAGCTTCTCTTTACGCTCCCTCTCTAGTCGTTCTTTCTCTACTCTTGCAGCAACTTCTTTTTCTATCCTGTCCTGCTCAGCCCTCTGCTCAGCCTTCTGCTTTGCCAGCTCTGCCTCCTGACGCTCTTTCACTAATCGGGCCTGCAGAGCTTTCTCTGCCTCCCGTTCTTTTTCTTTCTTTTCTCTTTCTAGGCGTTCCTGTTCGACCCTCGCCTCTACTTCCTTCTGTATTCTCTCTTGCTCTTTCTTTTCCAAGTCTTCCTTTAGCTCTTTCTCACGCTGCTGAAGTTCCAATCTCTCCAGACTCTTTTTTGGTGCTAGTTCTTTTTCATGGTCTTTAACTTGGGCTGGCTGTTCATTTTGGACAACAGGCTGAGCATCCTCGGCTTTCTTCTTTCCTAGTGGTACCCCCCGTGCCCCAAGCCCATCTTCTGGACGTTTAATGTCCTCTTTGTATGGTACAGGGACAGCTTTGGCCCCATCGTCCACACTGTTACCTCCAGGTAGGACCTGGTTTTGAGCAACTACCTGGGCGTCACCAGCCTGACCTCCTCCTTCTACTACTGCCTCTGGAGACTGCTTCAAGTCAGGCTCTGGCTCTTTGGCTTTCATTGCTCCTCCTTCAACTGCTGCATGATCCTGGATGTTTTTTTCAGCATCACTTTCAGGAACTAAAAGAAATACAATAACATAAAGACTTCACTTTAGATATAATTTGCTATATATGCATTTTCTCATTTGTGGATAACAAATTTAAAGGTGCACTAGTATATGACATTTCTGGTGGAGCAACCTCTATCTGCTTGTCCCCATGAATATGTTAATACATTGCCTGGAATGTTTCACAGTATGATATTCAACGTGTCAGTCTTCATGGAGACAAGCAGTTGATGCCATCTGGCCAAGTTACAGGTATGAGTCCACTCAGTAAAATAAGAATGTGTTTGGGTATTTTTTTTTTTTTTTAGCAATGAAAGCACTTGTAGTTAAATAAATGCAAGATACAAATTGAATGTCATGCTTTACAACATTCCAGGCAAAGCTATGAGATTTTAGACAAACAGGTAAGATACAATCCTTCAGAAAAGTAAATGAACAAAGACATAAAGGACATATACCCACCTGCTGGCTGTTTCTGGTGGATTTCTTTGTGCTGTTCTTCTATAACTGCTAACAGTTTTTCCTGCTGGTCCAAAAGCCTCTTCTGCTGCACCTGCTGCTCTTTAATCACTTGCAATAGCACGGCGTGGTCCAGCTGGCCCTCTGCACAAAAGAAATTGTTATATATGGCCTATTCTATGGACACTCCTCACTGTTAAAATGTGTTTAGTCAGCAGAAATAACCATCTTGAAAGAGGTTTAATGGTTGACTTCTATTGCATCTTATTAGTATGTGAGTCAATTAAAGTAATCTAAACTACAGAATTTAAATAAGGGTGCGTTCACACCTGGTCCTGGTTTGGGCCCAGTTTGAGTCCTAATGTACATTTAGTTTGGTCCTGTTCTAGTCCTGTTCTAGTCCTGGGTCAGTTCCAGGTTTAGTCCCAATATTAACGTGGTGACTGTGCAAGTGTGAACGCACCATAAAAGAACAAGAAATGAAATAGAGGCAGGAAAGAATTCATACCTGCAACCAGCTTTTTTATCACTGATGGAAGTCCAGCAGAGACAGAGTGAAAAGTGGTACAGGAAAAGAGAGCAAAAGCAAACAGTAGTCAACAGAGAACAAAAGACTGCAAAGCATCAAGTCAAAGCAAGAAATAAGTCTAGATATCCGTAGTTACCAGTCAATAAAAGTCCCTGTTTTCTATTCAGTGCTTTTATTTTCATTCACGAGCTCAATGTCGTATAATTTGACTTACCATCCATTTTTTCATCAGCTGTATCTTTACTGTCAGCTCCCTGGGCAACAGCAATGGCAGGTGGGTCTCCTTCAGAGCCTTGTGCTAGAAATCACCAACCACTACATTTTAGTTTTGTATTTTTTTTTATAATTTCTTTCCATTTTCTTCCCAGTACATAATACTTACTTTTCACCACAGTTTCTGCTTTATCCACTTGTGCCACTTGCGCTGGGTTGGCTATATTTGCTTTTTCTACAACAGCCTCTACAACTGTATCTTGCTTCACATCTTCCTTAAGTTGTGGAACATCTCGCTTTAGATCTCCATCAGGCTTTTCCAGGATCTCATTTGAATGTTTCTCTCCTCCACCCAAATCCTCTTTTTTCACCATGACTTCTGCAGGTTTTTCCTCCTTCTCTTTCTCCTCCTTTTTGTCCTTGATTTCCACTGCTGGCTTTGGTTGATTTTGAGATTCATCTCCCGGTTGCTGTTCCTTCTCTTCTTGGAGCTCCTCTGGGTTCTTTCTGATGTCCACTAGGACCGCATCATGAGGATTGGGAGGCTCATGGCGATGGGCTTCTGACTCTGGTACAACAACAGCACCCACTGTGGACAAAGAATTGAAACCACTACACAACCACTACAATTAATAAGACATCACAGCAAATCAATTCGTATTTTAGACATTCAATCTGTATCCTTTGCACAAATGTCCACAAACATTTTTGTCACATGCTTGAAATAGCAGTAATAAATGCAATCCAATTTATTATAAGCATTATTTATCAGCTTGTGAATCTGTACCAGAACACTATATAGATACAGATATAATCATTAATGTATTGTAAACAGTTACATCTGATGTTAGTAATCTGACATCTGTACAGGTTTTGACCTGAAAAATTGTGCAAAAAGGGCAAGTTAATGTGGCAAGGACAATAATGGAAGATAAAATGTTAAAGATTGATAGAGTTCTTTTAAAATGAATTGTTCTTCCAAATAAATACTTTTAAAACCAATGATTAACTGAGACATATCACCAGGTAGGGCTGCAAGAGTAATCATTACCAAAACAAAATTGTAACTTGAATAGATGCAATTAGCACATCACAAAGGTTGCAACTTTTGAAGGGCCATCATTTCAGTAATTTAATGAGACATTTTTCCTTAGCCTTATCACCAGGTGGTGACCAGATTTCTTATTCTAGTTATCAGATTTTTACTGCTCATGCAAATATGCCCACAGTTTATTCAAACCATGCACTACTGTCCATCGAGAACATTTGTTTCTCTTACCAGCTTCTGGGCGGTCTAGCTGCACCTCTTCATCCTTTTTTCTCTCTGGCAGGTCCACTGGTCCTTTAATCTGTGGGGGCTCAGCCTGGTCCCTGTCTACAGCAACAGGTATCTCAGGTTTCTCCATCTCCACTGGCTTCTTATTTGGGACATTGTCTAACACAGAGAACATTCATTTTAAATATATGTGCAATGTTGTTAATAATAGATTCATCAAAAATATATTAACAGTTTAACACAATGCAGCTGATTTTTGCCTTCTCATGTTGAAATAGTGACATAGGTATTAAGAAAACCTACAAACAACAACATGTTTTTCCATTATTATTATTATACATTACACTTCAGCTAGGTCTATTATCAACTTGAAAAGAAAGCGCAAGTCTTCACAGATCAACAGCAGAGCTGATTGTGGTGATGATGCAAAGACCCACTAGATGGCAGCAAACCCTATTAAAATTAAAATGGCATGGATCTAGTTTACTGTAATAAGGTGCAAGAGTAAGCATATTCATATGACTTGTAAATAACATGAGCAAATGCACCTGACAAAGGCATAATTATTCAAATGGATTAAAAAAAGAAGAAAACATATCGTTGCCATGTTGGAAAAATTCCTGCCACATCTTATTAGAAGTCTTATTTCTATTAGTGTCTATGGACTCCTTTTGAACCTGTTTCTCTCTTTTTGTTTTATACAGCCAGGAGCTTGCAGGCATTTTATAGCTGCCACCGAAGATATGGGAGGAGATGGAGGTGCAGACAATGTATTTTAGGAGGAAGGGGTGTCAGGAGAAATGAACGGGGGTAGGAGCAGAGGGGGGCTGAGAAATTGCCGGAGTTTGAAGGGCATCACTCTCGCTCTATCAACGTCAGGCGCTCACTGGTGCTCTCAGATATTATCACGAGGTTATCTCTTCAAGCTGCCTGTCTGTCTATCAGTCGCTCTGTCTTTCTCCACCTTTTCTTCTCCCAGAGATGAAAGAATGGCCTTTTTCTCAGGGACTTTGGGCTTTTGTTTTAGTCAGTCTAGAGCCCTGGCCTTACTTTGTGGTTTGCAATGTTTTAGCGTCAGGGTTTGCTGCAGTCCGTGACATTTTTGTTGTAAAAAGTCTAAACAACTTAGTGTATGGACTTTTGAGGAATCTTGGTTCTGGCATCTACAATCTCACCACAAGTTTAAGCTGTGCCAGTGTGATAGAGTGAGTCAAATAAGAACCAAAAGTAAAATCAATATAAATTTTGTGGATTCATGATCAAAATCCCAGAAAAAATATGCCAACAAGTTCTAGGCCAGTGGTTCCCATAGTGGGGGGCCACAAGACACTGATCTGGGGGGTCATTATGATTAAATGACTAAAATAAATACAATTAAACCTGATTTTTCAATGTTTTCCCACTTAAAATTATTGCAAGTGCCCTTTCGCAGTGTGGAGCTGTACAAGGCAAGTTGCAGGATTACTTTGGAGGTCCCTACCTGAGAAGTTTGAGATCCCTGTTCTAGGCGTGTATGAGGCTGACAAGCACAGGGGAACACTTCACTGAATTGCATTGTAGTACTAGTGACAATAGGATAGGAAATAATCAGCAAAATCGAATTTCCGTTTGAAAATCAAACCTCTGCCAGAACAATGTCCTGTTTATGCTGTACAAAATTCAGGCTCATTTGCTCACCACTCTAATGTAGATGCCTAACGTAGAAGGGGATAAGTGACTGTAGTGGGTAATACTCTGATCCTTACCAGGCAGAACAGGGAGGTCTGGGAGCGGTGGGTTGTTTCGGCCCGGTGCAGGAGGAGGAGGGTGAACCTGGACTTTGATGCTAGAGCTGCTGGAGGAGATGGACAGTGTGGTGATTGTGCTGATTAGCAGGATGCACAGACCCACCAGAAGTACCAGCTGTATGGACAAATACGTAACAAAGAGGTACAGTTAAAACACAGCGTTGCATAACATTACACAGCACGAAACTATGTCAGAACAGTTTATTGAGATTTATTTTACCTGTGCTACAATGCCATTCTTTTGGATTTTTCTGTAGATGAGAGCTGGGCAAATGAAACAGATGAGGCTGCCCATAGTGGCTCCAGTCAGACCCAGAATGGTTTCCACTGAAGACAGAAAGATAAGAGACAGCAAATGATGTTACAGTTTAATGCAGTATTCTGACATGCATCAAAACACCAGAAACACTTAGATCTGAACAATAAAAGACAAAAATTGTAGTTTTGCGTGTTCTCTGAATGTGATGTTGATGTTTAATTGTCATATTATTCATACATTTACATAAGCGAGGCAAAGCATACTGCACATACAGCCAGGCTTACAGTGTATTTAGCCGTCTGTGCACCTTATCGCTTGGTCCATTCATACCTGCCTGTGCCATTCATACCCAGCTCTGGGCTCCAGTCCACAGCACGCTGCTCCCAGCTGGCAGCAGTGTGCCCTGGCTCCACCCCTGCTTCTGTGGACCAGCCAGGCGGGCGCTTGTCCCGGAAACCCATCGCTTATCCAGAGGACGGACACCATATTGTCTGCCTCAGATTTAGTGTCCATTCTCTCTGGGGTCCTTACCTCCCTTTCCTCCGTCTATTAGTTTGATTAGAAACACTAAGAGACAGCCAAACCCCATGAACATATATGTGTGTGGCCAGCTAATAAAAGGTTTAACTTGTGACTGCTGTATAATACAATGAATGAAACATAAAATCATGTTAACCTTTACATCTACAATGTATGGAAGTAGTTTGTAAGAGGGACAGGAAGACTCTAAGAAGCTGACATAGTGCCGATATTGGTATGTGCATGGATTTGTGTGTGAGTGAGAGAGAAAGCCAGCAGAATAATAGCCCTATCTTCCCGTCTGCCCATCGAAAAGGAAATAAAAGTTAGGGCCCTGATTTAAGGACTGTGTTAGAGTGTGACAGTCACTGACTCGTAAAGTCACATTCACACACATCGTAAAGCTGCAGTACTGCTCCGCCCCCATAAAGGAACAGGCACCTTAAAGGCCTCCAGTCAGGGACCCCCGCTACGGCCAACACACATACAGGGACCCCCGCTATAGCACACGCATACACTCAGGGATCTCCGCTATAGCACACACATACACTCAGGGACCCCCGCTATAGCACACACATACACTCAGGGACCCCCGCTATAGCACACACATACACTCAGGGACCCCCGCTATAGCACACACATACACTCAGAGCAGGCTCAGACATACCATTAGGGATGAGGATGCCTCCCAGCATGGTCCCGAACACTATGCACAGAGTGATCATTTTAAAGCGCAGTGGAGGCATGTATCCCCCTGCAGCAAACGTCCCATCTTTCTGCTGCAGGAGAAAAGGCAAACAAAAGGCTTCAGTTTATAAAATCTATTTGATCAGTTTATAAAATCTATTTCACCTTCAGTTTATAAAATCTATTTGATGATTTGTGGTGGAAAGTAATGGAAAGTAATGGGAAAAAAGTGAAAGTACAGAATAATTGGCTACGCTAGTCCAATACTTTTACTTAAGCAGATTTTAGAATGTGATATTTTTTGCACATTAATCAATGTTTATTCCACCACTGTCTCTAAATAACTAAGGAAAATACAATGCAAAGTTACTGTCCTTTCCATTCCTGTTTTATTAGAGAGTTATATAAGTGCACATATTTTATAATGATTAGAACTATACTTGACAATTTTGTAATACGTAAGAAGCACAATATTGAATGATCTGTATACAACTGTATATGCGCTGACCTGCTGCTCAAAGACCATGGTGTTGATGGCTTGACGACAAGGCAAAATCATCATGGGAAAGCCAACAGCCACAGACATCATGAAACCCACTCGGATCATCTCAGTCACCAGGTTGGACGGGAAATTCATCAGAACATTTCCTGCAATGGAGTCTGTGAAACTAACATAGCCAAAGAAGCCCACCTAGAACAAGAGAGAAAGCTGTAGACTTACAGAAGGAGTACTCTTATAGCAGAGGAATGGACTGTGTCTTTGCACTCACAGTGATGTAGAAGATGGTGACCACTTTAAGGGACGAGGTGAAGATGGTGCTCATGCGTTTGACCGAGGGCTCGTCCAGGCTGTCATAGGTGGGTAGCACTTGCCTGTTAAAGAGACAAATTGTCCACATGTCTCTGCAGAGGATCTCACGGGGACCACTACTGCTGTGCATTCATGTGCTGTGTGTGTGCTGCCAATAATGTCCAGTCTTTATCCCACAGAGGTTTTCAAACAGCAGCCACCAATATACAGTATGACAGCTTACACAGGCTAACTTCAAATTTAGCTGTAATCACGCTTTTGTAGATTTTTTTAATGAGCCATATGGGGCCCATTTGTGCCACTCAATAATCAAATGATGCATCACTCTCCTTATGTCCTTGTCAGCTTCCAACTCTGAATAGCGATTTCACTGTGTTTTTTAGTCTATTAAAGTTTTCGCAACAGAAGGCAGTAATTAGTTGCTTATCAACTTAGACTTTGTATTGTCTCCCATATGACTGATTTTTAAGTCATGCATGCCACTTGCAACCATAAATTTTAAATATTTTGCACATGCTAATAGTTTTACAATTTAAACTTTATCTAAGCACAAGTTAATTTATGTTATTATGAACTATCACTAAATACTGTAGAAAAGACTATGTAATGTTAATATAATGATTTTGTCCTTCTGTTCCTCTATTTAATTTAATCAAAATTTGAGAATTCATCAATCATTCTCGTTCTAGATCTGTATACATATACTTAAATAATAAGTAGAACAGAGACACATGAATGCCACAGAGTAATCAATTATATTAGGGCTGCAACAATCAATCTGCCATTGATTATTCTTTTAATTAATTCATTAAAATTGTTTATAATCAACTGATTTGAATGACAGTATACAGTATACAGTACAAATACATACTAGATCTACTCTACCCAGTATTTTTCTTTTTTTTTTTATTGGAGTAAGCAAAGCAGTGGGCGCGAAGCCTGTGTGTGGGTGACAGTATGGACAACAGCCTTTCTACCATTCTACTCCTCCCTCTGTCCCAGTGAAATGCGTGGAGGTGACCGTCAACACATTACCCAATAAATTCAGTGCCTTTCTATCTAACAGCGAGTGCCTGGATGGTTTTAGAGCATTGTAAACTTTCTTGGCTGACTCTTGCCTCTAATTCCCACACGCAAACGGGGAAAGCTAGAAACCATAACTTTCTTTCCTCATCCTTTTGCATGTCTTCATTCACACATGCTGGTTTTATGAGCAAGCAGTGTCTCGGGGTGCCATTCTTCATTGCTTGTTTAATTTGCAATCCAGTAAATCTTATGGCCAAGGTTAAATAAAAATGCTTTTTGCAACTACACCGCCATTAGATCTAATGGTCACTCAATGGCTGTGACAAAAAGAGACCTAAATTGTTTTTATTTGCTACTGTACGGTTTTGTCGAGATGCTGTGAGGGCAATGAATGAGCAGCAGACAAAATCATTAACTTGGAGTAGAAAGCATGCTGACAATAGGATCACAGAGGGACATTTCTATAACACATGTTTTTCTTATGTGCCCCCATTATGAGCTAACAGCAATACGAGCAAAGCCAAAATATAACACGGCCAGGTCCCATCCCGTCATAATGGTGATGCTAAGTAATGTTTTAAGTGAAAGTAAACACATTTCATGAATGTAATAAAAATCCAATGTGCTGAGAGCTGTTTAATCAGCCTGTGAATACATCAGTGTGTGTCTGGAAGATGGCCCTGGTCCAATGTGTTGATTAGTGGTTTGGCTTAAGCTTGCAGCCGCCTAGAACGGAGCGCTTGCCTCGCTCAGTCTGACCACAGGCCAAGAAATCGCCCTGCCAAATATCACTCAGCACTGCTAGTGGAAACTAACACATGCAGATAAACACACCAAAACTTTCTTCCTCTTTGAACATGTGCGCTCCCTGCTTGATAATGGACATGCCTTCCATAGCATAATGTTATGTTGTGTGGATGCCATTACCTCAGTTCTAATAGCTACGGCTCAATTCCTGCCACCTACCTCACTCCCCCCCAACAGAGCTCTCTTAACATCTGCCCCCTCTGACCTCACTGTAACACTCCCCTCCTATATCCTTCCCCTAGCTGCACATTCAAATCAAAAGATAAGACTTCCATACTCCCCGATCCCATTAGACCTTGACACATTACCCTTTACCATCCAGGAGCAAGCACTAAAGGCGAGGAGAACATGACAAAAGAGGCAGCGATGGAGCATGCAGATGGGTGAAAATGGAGATGCGAGTGACAAAAAGTGGTTGGGTGAAGGTCTGATTAAGCTGTGAGAGGTGAAAATATGGCAGTGGGTCCTCTGAGTCACTGTGAGGAAAGTTAATGGGATGCTAAAATAAGCGTGAAACTTTTTTTTTAACCATTTGACCAAAAATGTCTGAAAGTGTGTAGAGAACTGTATTTGATAGATAGACTTGGCAAAGGGTCTTCGTGTAGTAAAAAACTTAAATAAACTTTTAGCACAAAACAAACAAAGGATTGAAATGGTTTGTCCGATTGTGGGTTTAAATTCAATTCCAAACCATTTCAGACTTTTACAACATTTAAGGCACCTGCATTTTTTCCCTTTAATATGTGATTATAGATGATAAAACTACTACAAATTGGATTAGTACAGAAACTATAATTAAACTCCCTACAATCCAGTTTGGGGCCCATACCCACTGTTTAGGGAAGCCATTTATTAAGAACTAGGAAGTTGGCCAAAATAAACACTGGTTCAGTAATAATATGGTATGACAATGTCTACAATTATGTATTTAACAACAAAAATATAAACTTCACTAAAATGTATTGTTGTTTTATGGCAATATATGAATAAGATAATTGGTGAAGACATTAAGGAATTCACATGCCAAATTCCACCTCCCCCCCAAACATGCACAATTGTATTTGAACGTGCAGGACTTTCCTGATCACTTGGGAGTTAGTAGGAACAAGTTGAGCTACTACATAAATTCCAGCTTACTGTCAATTGCATAAATGTGCCTTTGTGGAGCCTACTCTGCATTAGTTTTATGGGAGGGTCTTGTGCAGTCGGGGGCAGGGAATAGTACTTACGACTGACAGGCGAAGGCCATCCCACAGATGGGGATACAGCGAAACACACCCTCCCAGCGCACCACATTGACCCGCCCCAGCCACCAGCCGCTGAGCAACTCATGTTTGAATGAGGACAGCACCATCTGAAGGAAAGGAGGGCGCCGTGTTACAGCCCGGACCAAAACACACAAGGAGAGGGTAAGAGAATGGCGAAGGACCCAAGACAGTGACCAAAGACAAATAGGCAGGAAATAAGACAAAAATACTGGTAGATGGAAAACCTTGAAACCTAACTGAAAGCACACCCCTGTTTTATACAACCCTAGTTTTAAAAAGTTTGGACACTGTGCAAAATGTTATCAAACAAAATTCCATACTGAAAGAAACATGTCCTGCTGTCAAATTTAAAATGCTCTGTTAAATTGTCAACAAATTTTTTCATTCAAATCTGTCTCACTACACTTTTTGTTTTTATTTATATTTCGCACAGCATCAAACCTTTTGGAAGGTGATTTTCAGTTTTCATAATAACAAGGTTTGGTGAGCCTTTTGTTTCTCTATCTTGCTCCTTAAAGTACCTGAACAGTGCAACTTCAACACCAATAGCTGTACTACAACTGCCACCACACACACAGACCAACACACAAAGCGGACACCCAAGTTTAAATAGAAAAAAATGGGACCTTCAAGGACTGCAGGATTATTTTGGGAAAGTATTTGCGCTCCAGGTTCAATCCCCCTTTCTGGCTGTGGTGTCTCTCTTTGGGTGTTCTTACTTACGGATGACAGCAGAAGGTCGTGGCGATAATGGGCAGGCACTGAATGACACCCCTGAAGCGCCACAGGTGAACCCGTTCCACCCACGAGCCCGAGACTAAGCCGTAGCGCAGAGACGACAACACTATCTACAACAGCGGCAGAGGAGATGATGGGCAATGGGGGCAAAAACAGACAGGACAGGGTGTAGTGAGTGAGGAATGAAGAGGTGGACAGGTAGGAGAAGAAAAGGAGAGGAGAGCAAAATGGGGAGGGAAGGAGAAAACGTCACTGTTAGGGGGGTCAAAGGCAGGTGAGGAGCTGATCAAAGCCAGACACACCACACAACTGATCCAGATACAGGCCATGCTACAACACAGAGGGTGATGTCACAACAGCAGAGCACACAGATCCAGGTGGACTCTGTGGAGGCAGGCCAGTCCAAAAACACATGCGTCATTTCCATGTGTGCTTAAAGAGAAAACAAACTGAATCACTTCAATTGCTACAAGAGTGTATCTAAGCAAGTGTAATAACAGAAATATATGTATTTATTTAACTTTAATAATAATGTTAAGGTATTTGTGCTCCAGTGTGAGACTGAGTGAACACTTCAATAGCATTCTGGACAGTGTGATTCAGTTTGGATTTGATCTATCATAAAAAGGAGCAAGATGAGAATGACTTTGACTTACACTACTCTTACAAGAAACTTTAAAAATTAAAACAATATGCAGATTCTTCAAGTAGCATGATGCAAAGATGTCATTAAAAATTCCTTTTAGTAAAAAACAATACATGCAAAAATCTTGTGCATATCCTGAGTGTGACTTGTGACATGTGTGTCTTTTTCTGGTAATTGTACGTCATACAGCATGAGTCCTAGACAAATTTCCCCAAGGGGACAAGTATATTGTATTAAACTGTATATAACATATTTGTAACAAAATAAATGTGTCTTGTTGGACAGGACAGCCTCATGCGTTTTGGTTATGCACTGTAGTCTAGGGATTGTGTCACCCACCGTGAACATGAAGAGGGTGTAGAAGATGAGGGCCATGGCAGAGAAGGACTGAATGGAGGACATCATGTTCCTCTGCAGGCTCAGAGGCAACACTATGAACAGGGACACAGCAATGAGCAGCACCACACGGAAGCTGAAAGTCACCTAAAAGAGAACAGACAGTTCATAGGACATATATGATAAATGTTATAATTATATAAGAATTGATATGCATAATAAATTATTTCAAACCTGTAAACCCAATAGCTGTGCAAAGAAATTTGAGCCTAAATCTGCTATGACAACGTAGAAGGCTATGCAGGTTCCCAACATCAAACCGATCATACTGCAAAAGATAAACAGCATGACAAATATGATTTAGTAAACGTCTTAATAAGTAAGTCTTACCTTGTTTCCACTAAGGCCTTTCCTGGTTTCCCATAGGCATGGAATGCTTCAGAAGAAAAAGTAACAGTCAGTATCATTTTGTTTATGTGTTTTAACAATCATACTTTTATGAAAAGGTCACCTAATCCAGCATATGTTCTTCTCTTTGTGTTGCTGGCTGTGTGAACCAAGAACATGCAGGACTGGTGGGTCATCCATGAGCAAAAAAACAAAAGGAGGGTGCCCAGCACTATTCCACACTAAAAAAACAAATGATGATGCACAAACGTTATTAGGACATACCTATTTATGCCATTTAAGTCATTATTTAGCTCTTTTCATAGTGCAAGCAATGAATTCTGTGCATTTATCGACTGCATTACTCATACTGTCTAGTAACATGGTTAAAGATGTTTGAATGGCATTTCCATTCCCATCCATTTCCATAGCCTTTATTTAGCCATGAAGATCCAATTGAGATAGAGTAACTCTTCTTTCAGAGGATCCTGGTCAGTTGCATAGCAATGCATTAATTATGCTTCCCTGGGTAGAATAGAAAACAATAATTCAATGTATTCAAAGATGACTATAATAACTTAGTTACTATAGATTGGAATTATCCTGGATGACTGAGTTCAACCAGCATTTTGGAGTTGGGTGCAACTGCAAACTGCATCAATCACTGCATCAGTTATGCATTATGAAAAGCACATATTATATAAAATACATTTATGATGGGGCAGACAGCCAGATAATTTCTTATAGAATATAACCCTGTTGGAATGATCCATTGCATTGCTGTAACGGTACATTTACTTAAGGGAGAACTATCCTGCTCATGAAAAAAATCTAATTTATCTAGTTGGTTCAACGCTAAGCATCAAAGCAGCACGGCATGCGCGCGTGAAGCTCCTTGGGAGGCTCGTGCGGCATTCATCCAATGAGCAGCACGCACCTGTTTGAAGCAGAAGGGCATGGTGAGCACGCTCACCCCCACGATGCTGTTCACCACGTTCATGATGAGACCCCAGTTTGACGCCGTCATTTTCACCAGCTTTAGGTTTCCCTGCCTTTCAGTAAGTGAAAGGAAAGGAAACACAATATAAAACTACAATGAGGAAGTATTGAGGCCCAAAGCTTGTTTTGGCTTAATTCCGGGTTTCTTCTGTGACCAATGACGTGGCGCTGTAGGAGACAACACAGCACAGAGGCAACAATGTTATACTATTACGCTTAACGTTTTGTTTCGTTGGTTTTAGTATGTAAATAAAAGACAATTTATAAAACAGAATTACATAATGTAAGCTTATTCCCTAAAAAGTAAACTGTATTTACGAAGCTAACGTTGATTATTTTCTGAACTCACTTCTGTCAGCGACACTTGCGCTCAACGCTGTGGTTTCAGGTTATCATCGGTAAGATCTTGACTATAGGCCGTCTTCAAAGGCAAAATATTTATTTTCCACTTTAGTTATTTTCCAGAAAACTCGCTAACAACTCGCTGACAGTTCCAATCTGTTTTTCTGTAAGCGTATCCAGGAAGTAAACGGTGCAGTCGATGAGAGTTCTGGAGACAACACAGTCTGGTGGTGAAGACTGCTGAAAAACGTTAGTGCCCACTAGTGGACACATGTACGATGGCAACAGGTCAGTCAGTCATATTATTTCTGTTTTATTTACAAAATAAAAGCAATCACCTTCTTGAAACACAATAGGTTACTCAAATACACCCGAACATTACAAATGTTTATCCAGATGCTCATGGGATTCAGGAAAGGGAAGTAGAAAACAGGGGATGTTAGGGCCACAATTCCGAACAAGCTGACGCACAAAAGACAAAAATTAGCCCCATGCACCTGGATGTCATTGGAAGGGTTCAGATGATTTCCGTCAGCTATAATGCCTGCTCGGTGCCCTCTCCCATAGATGACTATTGTGTTATGTGACCAGGAAAGAGAAGAAGGAGTGTGGGCTTTGCAGGGGGGGTTGACCTGAGAGCTTTAGTCCAGCTGGGTGTGTTTTGCCCCTGGAGATGGAGGGCTTTAGAAACAAGGATGTGATAGAGCTTTCAGAGGCTGTGTGTTGTTGGCAGCAGCATCCTTTATATTTCCATTAGGAAAACGGTCCAAATATTTCTTATTTTGGATCATTTAAACAATTTTCTCTAAATAATCTTTCTCTTGCTGCTCAAGGTCATTCAGCCCCTCTTCTCTTTTATATTTTTGCTGTCATTGTTTATAATTGTCGCTGCCAAGCACTTTTCCAAATCAGCTTTTATGGGAAATATAAATAGTTTATTGCCATTATGTGAGTCTGAGCGTGTGTGTGCATATGTGTGTGATCAGAGGGGTTACAACGGGAAAACCCTGGCCATTGTGTGCAAGTGACCCCTCAAAATCAATGTGACAGAGCGGTTGATTGGCTGGAGGGTCCTGTCTGTCTGCACCTAATCCTTCAAGGTGGAGCCTGGGCAGGCCTGCTGCGCCTCTGAGAGGGTGTATACGACCATGTAGCTCCACTTGTATGTGTGTCTTTCTGCACCTAATCCTTCAGGATGGACTAAAGGCCACGGGATGGGGTATTAGTGCAGTTACAGAGGGTCAGCCATGTGTGTTTGTGTGTGATGGGAGAAAAGAGAGGGCCTACTCCACAGTAGTCAGTTAGACAGCAGAATACCATGCACTGGTATGGAGGCTAGTGGTGTGTGGAAGTCATAGTGGGTATTAGCCATGAGTGGATGAGAATGGAACAAATATTCAGGCAGATTTGGACGGATAACCCATTTGGGCCAAAATTTGTGGCAGACATCTGGATTTGACCTCAGACCTATAGTGTGGCCTTGGGTCATTCAGGGGTCATGGGGCACAAAGCAGAGGACTGACCCTGCACAGGTCAAGCATGCAGGCAACTGAAAGGGCTCCTTTGTGAGGCCAGGCCTCCTCACTATTTCCCATGAGCCCTAGGGACTGCATCTACTCAGGAAACTACGCTGAGAGGTACCCAGAAAAGGTATGTTATAAACTCACATCTTATTGCTGAGATTTTCAGATTCGTAACTGACTTAACACCTGAAATTGTTTCCACATCGCACCTTTTAAACATGATAGTGCTGATTGTGCTTGTGTCGAAGGGGGATGGCTTAGATTCTAGGTGTGCCCAATGGCCATTGCTAGTGTACATCTGTTAGCGCCTCCCTAATGAGCGCATGCACAGTGCCTCTAGTGCTGTGTGTGGCCCTCTGAGAGGCAGAGAGGAGCCCTCTGCTCCAGTAATCACATTTAATTACGCAGCAGCATTAGACGGCCTATGAATAGGGTTTTTAGGCAGGCCTCTTACACTGAAATTGGCTGCATCCAGTCGAACATTGCCCATCTTTGTCCTAGCTGTCCCGCTATATTCTATTAAGACTGTCTTTTGACTATCAGCAAAGCACCAGGGTCTAGCACTAACAACTCAAGGGCTACTGCTACATATTAAAAAGAAAGGTAAAGGGAACAATAGGTGTTTCTTGGCTGACCGGCTAGCGTCTGCCCCATTAATGAAGCGAATGGACCACACATTGGACTACATTCACACTCATCTTGCATGTAGCACTGCATTTAAAGAATGTCTAAAAGAAACTTGGCTCGTCTGTTTATCTGAGCGGTAGATAAAAACTGTGCACCTCTTTTTGGGAGTAAGGAAGGAATTTACTTTGTTAATCTCCTGAGGGGTTCTCGGACTGTGAAATCAATTTCTAAGCAGAACATTTCAGGATGATGTGGGACTTTGCTCTGTAAAGAATGGCATACCAACTTGTCATCTGCAGCTCTGTATGCAGTGTGTTTGTTCATACCCACATGAAGCACTGTGTTTATGTTCATACTCAGGTAACCTGTCTTTGGGTCCACCCTTGTGCCAACCAACATATTAGCCTTCTCTAAATTAGACTTTGACATGAAAACATTCATAGTTACAGGAAACACAATATAAAGACACAGAACAGCACATTTCATATAATATTTGCCCTATTTGCCTTAAAACGAATCTTTTGTGAACAAGAACATCTCAATTCCTTGCAGAGCATCTCACTTCCTGTTTGAGAGGCCAAACCGACCATAAATCCAAAATGTTTTTAAAAGGCCAGTCCCATAAAAGTGCAGAGCCGACACAGCAGCATTACTGGGTCATGGCAAACTCCGTGTCCGTACTACACAAATGCTGTGTGCATCTACAGTTGTGCAGTTGCATAACAAACAGTGGTCCACACACTGCGTCGCACACAGGCTCAATGTGTGTGACTGAGGGGATTCATGCTGGCTTTCCTCTATTAAACTCTGTAATAAGGCTCACTGTGTACGGGAGTGCTGACATCTCTGCCCACCTCAGTGATGTACGGCCCGCTCTGTGTGTGCGTGCACGTGTGTGTGTCCATACTTAAGTCTCTACCTGTTCCCTATGATCTATAGCTCCAGGGGTTGTTCTATTCCATATACGAACATTTGTGTGCATTTGAGTGTGTTTAAATCAATGTTTGCGAGTGAGCGTGTCCACATGGGCGTGCAGCTGCATGCTTCACAGCCCTGGTCTGGGTTTGGCACAAAGAGGAAGGGAATTCCTTCACATTCTGACAGAGGAGGGTCTCACTGGTGCCTCTAAATGGCTGCAAACCTTGGTCCAGGGGTGATAATTTACAGTGTGAGAGTGCGGGACATGGGACGGCCCGTATATCTCTCATAATTGACAGCAGAGTTGAGAGCCAGAGGAAACGCTCTTATCCAGGTTCTGTTCTGTCTGCGGCGGCTCGCGCAGAACAGGCCTTTCATTTAAACGTGTCTTCAGCTCTCTGATGCCAGCGACATCATTAGGGTTTTAGGAGTGGCACTTAGCACATGAACAGCTTGGTCCTTGCCTGGCCAATATTAACATCATGCCCACTGCCGTGTGCATTCCACTGCTTCACAGTTTTTTCATATATCATCCAAATAATATTATACTTTTTAGTCCTGATATATGAAATTACAGCAGTGTGTGTGTAATTTGCATTGAAGTAAATCATGTTGAGAGTGTGGTACAAAATGAAGAAGTTGAACTAAACTTTGGACAGACCTGAGACCGGAACGATATTCACCGGTATTCTTTTTTGAATGATATTCTTCTTCGTTTTTCTCTCTCGTGACACGCTGCCTCTGCTTGTTCTTCCTCTTTCTTCTGTCTCATTAGAATGCAGCACTATAACTTTGCTGCGTACCATTGATCTCTCTCTCCCTGTGTGTGTGTGTGTGTGTGTGTGTGTGTGTGTGTGTGTGTGTGTGTGTGTGTGTGTGTGTGTGTGTGTGTGTGTGTGTGTGTGTGTGTGTGTGTGTGTGTGTGTGTGTGTGTGTGTGTGTGTGTGTGTGTGTGTGTGTGTGTGTGTGTGTGTGTCGTGTGTGTCGGAGAGTGCCGTGCGGTAGAGCAGTGAGCGCCAGAGAGTTCAGCTAGAGGCGGACAGAGAGAAGGACTTGGAGTAAACGGAGAGAAAAGACTGGAGAGGGGGACGGAGGGGGAGGCAGGGCCCCATACAAGAAAAGACACGGGCTTTCCTCGTGATCGCATCTTCCGCCCCTGTTTTTGAAGCCCACAGAGACAAGAGAGCAGCTATTTACTGAAGCCCACACATAATGGCCACTTTTATTTACTCAAGCCCATTTAGACGCTGCCAAGGACTCTCTGCTGTGCAGGCCAAAAACAGAAACCTGAGGTGTTCTACAAACCACCAAGTCCCCTCCTGTTGGTTGTGTGTCTCTAATGCAGTTACAGATATCCATCTCCCACATTTTTGTCAAACAAAAATGTCAAATGTCAAACAAAAATGTCTTTTAATACAGCTCAACATGTGGGCACATTTAGATGTGACCTGCATGAGCCCTGCCTGGAGCTCCACTGATGCCGTCTGACATCAGAGGGGTCAGCTTTGACCCCCGTCCCACTAACACACCTAACATGCTGTCGAAAACACTCTTCGGCTTCATCTTTTTGTTAACTAAACTTCTGCATATAGTACTCTTAATCTAATTAAAAGACATCAACTATCACAGTAATGAACTACTCATTTAATAATCTATCAGGTACACAGCGCCAAAATAAGTCTCGTTTGAATAGGCTACATTTTCGTCTCGCTCGAGTTTCTCGTTCATCATCAAAACAAAGACAATACTTCATTTTTCTGAAATGTTTCACAGCATGTATTGTCTTTGTATTGGAAATGAATACATGTATAGTTTGCTCTAATGTGTGTGCGGGGTGGGCATTTATCATGTTGTGGGGACTAAAATCTTCTTCATGGGGACCTGCCTCCTTTATGGGGACTAAAGTCAGGTCATCATGATGTAAATCCTTTTTTAGATCAATCCTTAAGTTCAGATATGGGCTTAAGTACATTAAGCATAAAGTTGTGTAAGGTTAAGCAAATCAGTCATTAGAAAATGAATTAAGTCAATATAATGTCCCCAAAAAGCATGGAAACCCAGTCACAGTGTGTGTCTCTGTCTGTTTCTTTTTTGTTTTTAGATTTTAGATGTTATATATATATATATATATAT